TCTTTCAAAAGGCAAGGATACAAAAGAACCTAAGAACTATCGACCAATTACTTGCCCGCCTACCACCTACAAGATTCTCACTGCTGCAATCAGCAACCGCCTCTACAATCACTTACAGAACAGCGACATTCTCACAGATGAGCAGAAAGGCTGTACTTCAAAAGGCTGAAATCAAAGCCAAGTACTTGTCTCCTCAGCCCACCAGCCAATCATCAACAAAGCAGAGACTGAAGACCAATATAGAAGCAGAGAAGATCGAGGTATTGAAGAACAAGCCTTTGCATGGAAGATTCTACAAGAGCCTCGACAGGCCATTTGTCGACAAGACTGCAAGTGTTGCCTGGCTCAGTAGTTCCGGGCTCAAGGGGGAGACAGAAAGCCTGATCATTGCAGCCCAAGACCAAGCACTCAACACCAGATACCATCAACGCAACATCCTCAAGCAACAGGTCAACAGTAAGTGCAGAATGTGCAGCAAAGCAGAGGAGACTATCAGCCACATCATCTCCGGATGCACAGTGCTGGCCCCAACCGAGTATATAAATCGCCATAACAAGGTAGCCAGCTATTTGCACTGGTCAATCTGCAGAGAACTTGGTGAGCAAGTACCTGATAAGTGGTATGAACATACTCCGAGACCAGTTACCAACATCGGAGATACTACCATAATGTAGGATATGGCAGTGCAGACAGATCGCACGATACCTGCAAACCGCCCTGATATAGTGCTCCACAACAGGAAAGAAAAACGATGTCTGTTGATTGACGTAGCCGTACCAGATGACTCTAACATCATGGTGAAGGAAAGAGACAAACTCACCAAGTACAAAGATCTGGAGATCGAAATTAGGAGGATGTGGAATACGAAGACGAGAATTGTACCAGTGGTGGTTGGAGCCCTTGGCTCTCTAAAGAATGGTTTTGAGAAGAACCTTAAGGAACTACCTGGCCACCACACTGCCCAAGAAGTGCAAAAAATTGCCCTACTGGGAACAGCACACATCCTGCGAAAAATTCTGGATTGAATCCCTATGTCCCAGGTTAGGACACGGTCAACCCAGAAGCCACCGGCTAATGCCGTGATCCACTTTGGAAATAATAATAATAATAATAATAATGATTATAGTATTAATGATAACAATAATAACGATCATGATAAAAATATAACAAATCATAATATACCTTTGCGGCTACTGCTATTTGGCTATAATAGTCTATAATGTCTCGTACTTGCACAGACATTCCTCGCGTAGCTCTATGACGTCAGAACCAATCTGCTGCTTCAGTTGGAACACCATGCCGGCACGCACGGAGCCTACGATCTCCGGAGTGCCTCCCTCCTCGCGGTGTTCAATGTTGCTTAAATAGATGTGAGTAGCGCGGGAAACCTGGAAGTTACGGTGTTAGAAAGATTGTTAGAAAGATCAGTCACAATCAGTCCTAATATTTTATCGTAGTGGTAGTACGAGTGAACATAAACGAGCATCAAATATAATATATTGATTATAACATTATAAATATAAATGAAATGACCTGTCCATCGGTACCAAGATCCGTTAAATATGGATAATTATGTTATTTTAAGCCTGCACTCGGTGTTTCATTGAATAATTTATTATATTAATCACACCGGTTTTTAATTGAATATTTTATTATATTATTCAAACCGTTTTTCATTGAATATTTTATTATATTAATCACACAGGAACATACCGCCCGTTGCACGCACACGCACGTCACGCGTACCCATGCAGTGGCGTATGCACGTAAACGCACGCGTATTATTATTATTATTATTATTATTATTATTATTTTACTTTTTATAGCTATACCCCGCGCAACATACACGGCCACACGCGCAGCCCCATGCGGAAGCACAGACGCCATTACAAAAACTGGCACGCCCGCGGCACACACATCCTACAGCGTCGCTCGGCAAGCAGCGATCGTCGGCCGCTATCTGTCTCACCATCAGCACGGTTCCGCCGCCGACGCCATGCGGGATGGCATTCCTGAAGAGATGTTTCTTGGCGATGAGCAGACCAGGCGTTCCCGGACCGCCCACGAACTTGTGCGGGGAGCAGAAGATGGCGTCTTTGTATCTGTGTAATAATAATAATCTATAATATTAATATCTGTAATCTGCAATCTGTAATAATAATATGTATCTGTGTGATAGTGGGTGTGTTATAAAGGCAGTGAGACAAGCAGGAAGTAAGACAAGAATGGTTTCGTAAGGCAGGCAGCTGCGTGGATGCGTTGAAGCATGCGCAGTGAACTCGATCCCTGTTTCGCTGTCTGTCTGTGCGCACTCTTGTTTTCCTTCTCTCCTCTCTCTCTCTCTCTCTCTCTCTCTCT